CCTTTCTTCCCTTTTCTTTCTTTCTCTCTCTCTCTCTCTCTCTCTCTTCCTTCTTTCCTTCCCTCCTTCCCCTTCCCTTCCATTTCATTCCTTCCTACTTTCCTTTCCTTCCTTTCCCTTCCTTTCCTTCCTTCCTTTCTTTCCCTTCCCTTCCTTTCCTTCCTTCCTTCCTTTTTTCTTTTCCTTCTTTCCTTCCCTCCCTTCCCTTCCCTTCCCTTCCTTTCCCTTCCTTTCCTTTCCTTTCCCTTCCCCTTCCTTCCTTCCTTCCTTCCTTCCTTCCTTCCTTCCTTCCTTCCTTTCCTTCCTTCCTTCCTTTTTTCTTTTCCTTCTTTCCTTCCCTCCCTTCCCTTCCCTTCCCTTCCTTTCCCTTCCTTTCCTTTCCTTTCCCTTCCCCTTCCTTCCTTCCTTCCTTCCTTCCTTCCTTCCTTCCTTCCTTCCTTTCCTTCCTTCCTTCCTTTTTTCTTTTCCTTCTTTCCTTCCCTCCCTTCCCTTCCCTTCCCTTCCTTTCCCTTCCTTTCCTTTCCTTTCCCTTCCCCTTCCTTCCTTCCTTCCTTCCTTCCTTCCTTCCTTCCTTCCTTCCTTTCCTTCCTTCCTTCCTTTTTTCTTTTCCTTCTTTCCTTCCCTCCCTTCCCTTCCCTTCCCTTCCTTTCCCTTCCTTTCCTTTCCTTTCCCTTCCCCTTCCTTCCTTCCTTCCTTCCTTCCTTCCTTCCTTCCTTCCTTCCTTTCCTTCCTTCCTTCCTTTTTTCTTTTCCTTCTTTCCTTCCCTCCCTTCCCTTCCCTTCCCTTCCTTTCCCTTCCTTTCCTTTCCTTTCCCTTCCCCTTCCTTCCTTCCTTCCTTCCTTCCTTCCTTCCTTCCTTCCTTCCTTTCCTTCCTTCCTTCCTTTTTTCTTTTCCTTCTTTCCTTCCCTCCCTTCCCTTCCCTTCCCTTCCTTTCCCTTCCTTTCCTTCCCTTCCTTCCTTCCTTCCTTCCTTCCTTCCTTCCTTCCTTCCTTCCTTCCTTCCTTCCTTCCTTCCTCCCTTCCTTCCTTCCTTCCTTCTCTGTGAAGTGGCATATAAGTCTAAGTGCTATTGCTATTTTGGGTGAACTACATTCCTATAGAAGAAAACTCAAAGACAAAATTTAAAACAAGCTGCTTGTTATTTTTTTTCATTGAAGGTGGTTTTTTGCTAAGGGGTAACTATTCAAACTACAGGGAGTCCTCAACTTAAAGTAGAACTTAGAACAGTTCATTTAGTGACCCTTCAAAGTTACAAGAATAGCACCGAAAAAAGCGACTTGCGACCATTTTCCACACGACCATTGCCGCCTCCCCTTGGTTGTGTGATCAAAACTCAGATGCTTGGAAACAGACTCATATATACGACAGTTACTGTGTCCCGGAGTCACGTTTGCAACTTCTGATGAACAGTCAATGAGTTCACTTAACAACTGCAGTGATTCACTTAACTATGGCAAGAAAGGTCATAAAATGGGACAATGTGCACTTAACTGTCTCGCTTAGCAACAGAAATATTGGACTCATTTTTGGTCGAAGACAAAGACTACCTATACCCAGGGAGAATGGCCATAGGAATGAGTTTTTTTGGGAGGGGAAAGACAAGCCACATTCCAAAAGCTGGAAGCAGCCTTTTACTGTTAATTTTTAAAAATGTGTACCAAAACCATCCTTTTTGGGCTGATATTTCTCCATCATAGAGGCTGAAACTCTATTCTAAAGTCGTTTGCTGCATCTGTTGTGGCGACTTTGTCCTTCCTTATGTTTAGAGTGAGGGGACGCGGTAGCTCAGGAGTTAAAGATGCTGAGCTTGTTGATCAGAAAGGTCGGCCATTCGGCTGTTCAAATCCCTAGCGCCACGTCACGGAGTGAGCTCCCGTTCCTTGTCCCAGCTTCTGCCAACCTCGCGGTTCAAAAGCACATTCAAAAAATGCAAGTAGAAAAATAGGGGGACCCCTTTGGTGGGAAGGTCACAGCGTTCCATATGCCTCTGAAGGCGTTGAGTCCTGCCAGCCACATGACCACAGAGACGTCTTCGGACAGTGCTTGCTCTTTGGCTTTGTCACGGAGACAAGCACTGCCCCCTAGAGCCAGAAACGACTAGCACGGATGTGCCAGGGAACCTTTACCTTTATATTTAGAGTAGGGTCATCACTACTTAGGAATGTTAGTAATATTATTCTTCTCTCCTGTGCTCTTCTCTCCAGGTACATTCGCTGTCAGAAAGAAGTCGGAAAAAGTTTTGAAAGGCATAAGCTGAAGAGACAAGATTTAGATGCTTGGTAAGCCTGTGAGCTTAATCCCTTAAGGGGCCGTGGCCCACTACCGGGACGTGGCCTGTTTGGAACTGGGTCACGCAAGCCATTGGGCAGCGCACGCATGTATGCATACAGCTCAACTTGCACTTACACGGACTGTTGAAACTTACAACGGCACTGAAAAAAGGGACTTGTGGCTGTTTCTCACACTTAATGGCCGTTGCAGACTCCCCGTGGGCCCGCGATCAAACTTCAGACATTTGGCAACCGATTCGTATTTACAATGGTTGCGCCATCCTGGGAGGGGGGTCACCTGATCCCTTTTAGTGACCTTTCCTGACCAGCAAAATCAATGGGAGAGCCAGATTCGCTTAACAACTAAACAGCTGCGATGATTCGCTGAACAACTGGGGCAAGAAAAGTCGTAAAACAGGGCAAAACTCCTTTCGCAAGTTGTCTCACTTGGCAACACAAGTGTTGGGCTCGATGGTGGGTCGTAACTCAAAGACTACCTGTGCCTGGTGTGCTTTTGCCAACCAGATTTTCTCTCTCTCTCTCTCCTGCTGCTGCCTTGTTTCAACATCTTGTCCTTCATCCTCCCTTCCCAGGAACCTCTATAAGATCTTGGACAGCTGTAAGCAGCTGACCGCCTCTCAGGGAGGCAGCGAAGACGACACGGCTGGCATGGTGACTGTCATCACCGGCTTCCAACTCCAGGACCCCAGCAAACTTTCTGCTCCCATGCAGGTAGGTGTCTGGCATAGAATAGAATAACAGAGAGTTGGAAGGGACCTTGGAGGTCTTCTAGTCCAACCCCCTGCTCAGGCAGGAAACCCTACACCAGGGGCGTCAAACTCTTATTTCATTGAGGGCTACATCAGGGTTGTGTTTGACCTGGTAGGGTAGTGGGCATGGCCGGGGACGAGGCCAGCTCGACGTCACTTGTGTTGGTGGGGGGCACCTGTGGTGGCCAAGTGCTAAGGTAGGACTTCCCTCAGACCGCTCCCCTCATTATAATCCTTTCCTTCCCTCCCTCCCTTCCTTCCTTCTCTTCTCTTCTTTTTCCTTCCCTCCTTCTCTTTTATTCTTCCTTCCCCTCTTCTTTTTTCCTTCCCTCTTCCTTCTCTTTTCTTCTTCTCTTCTTTTTCTTTCCCTCTTTTTTCTTCCTTGCTCTCTTCCCATCTTTCCTTCTTTGTCTTTCCTTTTCTCCTTTCCTGTCTCTTCTTGGATGCTCAAATGCAAAAGGGAAAGAAAAACTTCTCCTTTTGTTTTGTTTTTAGTTTGTTTTGCTAGCCCTCTGCCAGCGAAAATGGAGTCCAAGGGAAGTCGCACAGGCCCTCCCCCAGGCCCCATTTCTGCTGGCAGAGGCACTGCCGGCACTCCTTTGCTCTTTCCAGGGCAACCCCACGGGCCAGCTGCAGCCCGTGGGCCTTGAGTTTGACACCCCATCCCTAGACTTTCCTTTCTATGAAAGACAAATCAAAATAAACGTTTTGAAATAACGATGGTCTTCCCCATTGCCACTACCGCTTCCCGCGAATGCCTTGTTGGGAAGTCAAGAAGATTTAAAATTTTTAAAGATTTAAAATTTAAGACAACTTATATAGCTGCCCGGCTCGCTCTTGAGTGACTGCAGGCGGTTTACTGGGATCAAATCCTCATACAATAAAAAAACCAAGTTATAAAAGAAATTAAAAAGCAATAACACCCTTTGTCAACTCATAAAACATTCCTATGCCTGTTTTAGTGGTTGCCATAAAAAAAAAGGGCGGGGTGAGGAAGGAAATCTGGAAGAGCAATGCAGCAGTTTGGAAGCGGAAGTACATTCCAACTGTTATCTTTAAAAGATTGTAACTAAACTACCAGAGCTTTTGCCGTGAATATATTTAATTGGAGAACGTGAAGGATGACACCCAGTCTGAACGGGCTCATTTGGAGAATCTGATTTATGACACACCCAGGGGGGATGGGGGGAAACAGGGTCACAGGGGACTGTAAATTACGTCTGCCAGAGTTGGCTTCACACAGGGCAGGGCCAGTAGGTCGCCTCTAATGAATCCTCTGAAGTTTTTTGAAGTTTGGCTTGAGAATCATGATTTAATGAGGGCGATTGCTGGATTCCTGACACCCTTCTAACTAGGAAGATTAACAATTTCCGTAGGCCAGCAATAGCAGTGGATTCCAGCCCGGGGCAAGGGGTTGGGCTAGATGAGCTGTGGGGCCTTGAAGGTAGCCGAGCTACAAGGCTGGGTCCTTCTCTGCCCGCTCACTGGAACCCTTTCCTCTCCTCTCCTCAGTCCGCGATCCAAGCAGCGGCCAGCGCCAGCATTGAGATCCAAAATGTCGTGGAGTTTTACAAGCAGTGGAAGGAGATGGGCTGAGCCCCCTTGGGTATCCCCGGGTTGGTTGAAGCTCCGTCTGCCCGTCTCTGGACGCACCGCATCGGAACGCAAGAACGTCACACCGCAGGCGCTAACCTTGGACACGACGCAATCGCGGCGGCAACCCACCAAATGACACCCGAGCCACCGGGGGTGTGTGTGCGCCAAACACCCAGGCGCGGGGGCACACACACACACAACATGAACGCAAACTGCCCCGCCATCACCTCCCCTCCCCGCAGAGGAGGTGGCGCACGTGGGGACATTGCAGCCCCTCTGGGGGAAGAGAGGCGCACCTTGGCCATGCCCCGGAGAGACGGGCGGGGGGGGGGGGCCCATTCTGACGCTCGCTCGGTTTCTCGTCAGAAAGGCGCTGGCAGCTCGGCTTAACAATGAAACAAACAAACAAAAAAGGAAAAATTCCCTTGATTTTTGCCCCCCTCCTGTCTCCTCACTGCAGGAAGAAACCTCCCCAAGGGGGCCTGCGTGATCCTGGCGGGAATCGACCAGGATCGCCAGAGGAGGCTCTTTCGGAAACCGGCTGTGGGGGAAAGGGGCACGCTCTCCTCTTCGTTTTTAACTTAAATGTTCCTTTTTCCCCTAGTCCCCCTTCATTGTGTTTCTCGAGCGAAATTGACTCTTTTGGCGGGGAGGGGGCTGCCCTCGTTCCAGGGCGAGACAAAGGGAGGCTGGTGTGCCAGTCGGACTCCGAAACCTTGGAAGGATGGCCAAGAGTAGCACGGGACCTGGGAAAAAGTTTTAGGATGGAAGATACTTATTTCCTGGCCCTGTTTCTCTTTCTCTACCTTTGTCCTTTTTTAAAAAAAACAACCCCCCCCCCCCCTTCTTTCCCCTTTTCCTCCTCCGCAGCCCCGGGGCCTTTGCATGCTGTCTGTCCCACTCCCCATCCACCCCACCCCACCCTTTCCTGGATGCAAGGGGGTGAGTAACCCTTGCAAAGGGGAAAAGCCAGCCAGACTCTTTGTGTCATTGCCTGGAGAATGGGAAAGGGGCTTTCTAGATAAAAAGGGAGGGAAATTCCAATTTTTTTAAAAAAAAAAACCAGGGACTGACTCTGATGAACCTTCCCCTCCCCTCACCGGCCTGCTCTCCCCTTCTTTCCCTTTAGAAAGTGGGATGCAGGAGAGGGTGAAGGAACTCTTTTAAGATGCTGGGCTTGGCTTTGCCCCATTCGGGGTAATCAAATCGGTAGCAGCCCCCAATTCTCCCTCCAACCTGGAGTAGCCGGACCAAACGTCTTTATTCTCTATAATACCCCCAGAGACGTCATCCTTGCGTTGCATGCGCTTAGCTTATTCTGACAGTTGGGGGAGAAGGGAAGAAGGCGCGGCGGGCCTGGAAATCCCGTCCCCCCCAGCCTGCCTGGAGAGGAAGCCCTGAGGCCTGGCCCCTGTCTTGCCCAGACGTGCAAAAAGGAAGCGTGGGACTTCCACCCAGCCACGTGGACAGTGGCATCGTCAACCTGCCACCCTTTCTTTCTCTCCCCCGCGCAGCTTCGTTCGACGGCAGAGAAAATGCCATTTGCCTTGATCTTATCCCACACCTGCATTGCAGCTCTGCCACCAGGAAGTGCGGTCTTTGGCTGCCTCTCTCTCTCCCTCCCTCCCTCCTTTCCTTCTTTCTTGTCTTTGCCTGGCTTCCCCCCCCGCTCCCCCCCCCCCCCCCCCCCCCCCACGTTCCCCCAAGGCCCCTCCCAGAGAAGGCAGCTCTTCCCAGCTCCTTCCCTTTCGGAGTGGTGGGCAGACCAAGAGCTGGCTTGGCTCTTCAGCACTGGGAGGGTTTCACCTCATCCCTGGCTTACCGTCGCAGAAACCCCTCCCTTCTCTCCCCCCCCCCCCCCCACAAGAAGCACTCCGTGGATGGGTCCTGCTTTTGAATCCTGGCAATGGAAGTAGCCCTCCTTCCCCCCCACCCCGACCCAGGAAGGGATCAAGGGGAGAAGCCCCTCAACCTTCAGAGAGACTCAGAGGGGAGTGGGGCTGGCCTGCGGGTTAAGGGGGTGTCAGCACATTCAGCTCGTAAGACACCTGCAGGAGGGCGAACTCTGCAACCGTCGGCATTTGTGGGGTGATCTGCACAATTTTGGCATTGATTTAACTTGGGGTTGTGTTGTTTTTTGGGGGTGGGGTGGGGGGAGTGGGAAGGAAGCTCATTCAGAAGGGACATTTTTAAAATGGAGCGTTTAAGGGTCTCCACCCTGGCAGCCAAGACTGGCGGTCTGGTCAGGGGCTTCTCTTCAAGTGCTTGTCATGGGCGTGGGGGGGGGGGGCATCGGTCTGAGCCATGGCTCGCCTGTCTGTTGACAATGTCAGGAGCATTTTTTTTTAATTTTTATCGTTTTTTGGAGCAAGGGGAATTGCATTGCCATAAATAAACATTTGTGAAATCAAGAAGCTTCGTTTGTACCTGGAGGGGGGAGAAGGGTAATTTTTTTGGGGGGGGGGGGTTCAAAAGATTTGTTCTTTCATGCTCACCTGGACAGGTAGAAGGAGCACCTGCTGGGCTCCAAGGGACAGGGCCTGCCCAGCCTGTATTGTGGTTTGCTGGCAGCCTGTGCAGATGACAGCGGAATCGGACAGTGGGGAAGAACGGGAACCAGTCTAGGAGTCTGGAGAGGATTCAGATGAGGGTCCTGCGTCTGATGCAGAGATGGGGCCAGGACCACCTGGGAGTGGGTTGGTGACTCCGGAGCCTCGAGTCTGGCAGCAGTGAGGCAGAGGACCCAAGGGAGCCTGTTCCCAGTGCACAGATGCGCAGAGCTGCCAGAAGGCCAGAGCAGTTAAGACAAAAGGGAGTAAGGCTGGGAGGTAATTGTCCCTCCCATAAGGTATGAAGGAAATGCAAAGGTGGAGAAACCTTTGCAGGAAGCAAAGTCGTTCGCTCTGTTCGGATTCAACCTTGAAGCTCTGTGTGGACTTTGGTTTTTTACAATTCATTTGGCACTTTAGTTGTTGGCTGCAACTCAAAGGAGAGAAAGGTGGGTGCTTATCTCGGGCAATTGTTTGGGACTCATTACTGGCTGGGAATGCACATAATTCCCAGTGTTGAAAGAAAACAAAGAGTGCTTAATTACAGTCTCGGGAAGCCTTGGTCAGAACAGCCTGCTCCCTGGTTGGTCTGTGGAGAAACGTCTTTTCAGGTGGAGCGCAATAAACCCAGTGCTGCCCAGTTGGGGCAGAATAGCCCAGGGCATGGAAGACCGCCAAAAAGAGAACCAGACGGCTGCGTGGTGACCCACAGAGCTTTCGTGCCGTTGTGAGTTTAGCAAATGCAAAATTAACATTAACTCACCTGTAGAGTCCTTGATGCTCTCTGAACTTGGTGGGCTTTCTTGCAGGTGTTTCATTACCAAAGTAACTTCATCAGTGCTAGTGGTGGTAGTGATAGCACTAAAGATCTCACCTATTTTTGGTGATGAAACGCCTGGAAGAAAACCCACCAAGGCTCAGAGAGCACCAAGAACCCCACAGTTCGACCCTGAGCTACAACTATTCTATTGATCAAGCCATCTTTTTTCTTTGAAATTGTGAAGAGAGTCCTTTCAGCTTCATTGGAAAGTCTTGGTTGAATGTGGGTCCTCTTAGTCCCTTCCTCTTGGCAATATCCAGTCTTTATGGTCATATTTTTCTTCGTTTATCAAAATACGGAATGCAAAGAAAAATGAAAATACTGGGAGAAAAGGAGAAGAAGAAAATGTGTAAGGCAAAGGGAAGAAGGAAAAAAAGTGTTGACCTCTTGACTCTTGGCACAGCAGAATAATAACCCAACCTCAGCTTTTTACTTTTCACATAATAGTGTATATACTAAAGGTGTCTGGTCTCCTGCTTGAGCGGGTGGGCGGGTTGGACTAGATGACCTACAAGGTCCTGTCCAACTCTGTTAATCTAATCTAACAGCCATTTCTATCACGACAAGCCTATTTAATCAGCCAAACCCAAAATCAAGAGTTTCCTTTTTTTCCCTACACCGAGCATGAAGTTCAAAAGCAGTTTCCCTTTCCAATTCTGTTCTTCATGCTGGGCTGTTGAAAACAGCAATAAAAAGCTTGGGAAAAAGCAGTTTCGAAAGTGGGAAGATGGGCAAGTTTAAAGTCTTGTTCAAACCTAGATTTTGCAGTAACCTTCCCCTGCCACGACCACCAAGCCAAGCCACACCCACCAAGCCACACCCACAGAACTGGCAGTAAAAAAAACCTGGATCCCACCACTGCTTTGTTTCCAAGAACACAATGGACTGGGTCCATTGGCATCTGGGGAGTTAAGTGGTTCCCTTGCAGGGATGGCTGGCCCAGCTTTGGAGGGCAGGAGAGGAGGCTTGGGCTGCCCTCTTCTTTTAAGATTTAATTAAAATGCATAGCATCAGCCCCTTGATGAGGTCTTCCCCCTTTTTCCCCCTTTTAAGCCCAGGGGAAGGTTGGCCATGAGAGGCAGAGAAAGCGCTCTGCGTTTGGCTTGAAGTCTTTGCCTTTCTCTGCTTCTGCGGCTCCAGCAGCCAAAAACAGCCACCGTGTCCTTAAATCACCCCATCACACTCTGGTGTCCTTTCAGATGATGGAGCTGATCCCTCCCAACAGAAGAGCTTTCTTTCTTTCTTTCTTTCTTTCTTTCTTTCTTTCTTTCTTTCTTTCTTTCA